TATTTATAAGAAAATTATATTATTAAATCAAATATAAATTATTTCATTATTGAACCTAAGTTAAATTATAATAAAAAAAATTACACAAAAAATAGGAATTTTAAATAGTTAATTTAATACTAATACCGATATATTTTTTGTCAAAATTTTATGATATCTTCAAATTTATAAAAATCATTGTATTTTCAAAATCACATAAGATCATACTATAACATCGACTGAGATAAAAAAATAAAATAAAATATTAAAATCAAGATATATCTCGCTGTATTGCGCGAGTACCCTTTTAGTATACTAAAATTGAGAAAACATGAGAAATTGTAAAAATCTCTAAATTTAAAGAAATCTTTAATTATAGAGAGAGAAATTATTATTTTAAATAATTTCCCACCAATTAGAAATATTTATAATAAGTTATAGGATAGATAAATAATATTTTATTCAATTTATTGAATATTTTAATAACATAGTTAATATTAAAATTGTTAATATAAGATAGTTGTTAGAGTTGAATTCAATTTTTTTAAAAGATTTTGACTTTTTTAAAATATTCAACAGTTATGCAATGTTTTCTTTAAAATAGAATATTAAGAGTTTCTTCAACAGTTATGTTAAAATGGAGAAAAGTGAGATTTTAACAATTTTTTGCTCCAATAACTATGCTATATTTTATGCTAAAATAAAGACAAAAAAGGTAAAAAAAATCCCCAAATGTAGAGAGATCTCTCAAACTCTATATTGAAGAAAGAGAAATGATACAGGAAAAGTTCAAAAAACTCAACAAACTTTTTCCATTTTGAATGGTTTAGTCGTTACTAGGGATGGTAATAGACCCCGACCCGTCGGGTAACCCGGTCCACCCGCCCCGATCGGGGACGGGGATTCCCCGAAAAATCGGGTCCCGGGGATGGGGACGGGGATCCCCGCTTGGCGCAATCCGGGGATGGGGACGGGGACGGGTATAGCACTCCCCGCCCCGCCCCGTACCCGTTTTATATATATATATATGTTTTATAAGAATTTGGGCTTTGGGATTTGGGCCGTAAAATGTGAATAATGCATCCTCCTTAGTCTTTAGTCTTTCCTCCAGCCCAGTCCACACTCCACACTCCTCACTTTTCTCCTAAATCCTAATCGGCTAATCAACCTAATCTCTTGATTGACTGATTCTCCTCCACGACGCTGCTGCTCTCTCCCGACCACGTAATCGGCGACGACGACGGCGACAGGCCGACGGCAACGGTGACAGGCCGACGGCGACAACCCACGGCGACAGGCGACAGCTCTCCCTCTCTGGACTCCGGCTCTCCTTCTCCAGCTCTTCCTCTCCGCGCTCCGCCTCTCCAGCTCCCCCTCTCCGGACCTCCCTCTCATCGCTTCGCCTCTCCGCGCTCCGCCTCTCCGGCTCTCCCTATCCGCGCTCCGCCTCTCCGGACTCTGGCTCTCCCTCTCTACTGTTTTTTCTCAGTGGCGGATAGAGGTATTCTTCAGCCTTCTTCTTTACTATAAATTTTTTTTCAATAGATAAAATTGCTACACAAGATTAGGCTGTTTATGCTAGGCTAAGTCAAATACAAATTATGCAATCATTGAATCACAGTTCCAATAACTTAGTTTGTAGATAGTTTTGGTTTTTTTTAAAAATCCCCGTTTCCCCGTTGGGGATCCCCGTTCCCCGTTGGGGACGGGGACGGGAATGTGATCATAATCCCCGGCGGGGACGGGGACGGGGATGGGGACACATATGAGGGATCGGGGACGGGGACGGGTATTGGGGTCCCCGCCCCATCCCCGCCCCGTTACCATCCCTAGTCGTTACACTATTTTTTGAATGCAAAAACTATTAAAATTTCTTATATTAAATGATTAAGTCCTTGAATTATTTTTATGAGTGAAAAAATCATTAACCTTTTTTTTTAATGAAAAACCATTAAATTTTCTCTTTTTGATTGATTAATCTCTGAACATTTTTTAATAAATAAATAATTGCACTTTTAAAAATTGGTTATCTACATACTTTTAACCCAAAAAGATTATATTAATTGACGAGTAAAAATTCAATACTTTATTTATTTTATTTTTTAAAATCAGATTCTTAATTATTCAAAATGTGAAAGTTTAATGGTTTTTTCATTCAAAAAATAATTATGAATTAAACCATTCATAACTAGAAACTTTCTTGGGTTTTTTTTTTTTAACTTTCCCGGATAATATTTAATTTCAATTCACCAATAAGGGACATTGAAATTAAATGTTAAGAGAAAAACAATATTTTATTAAATGTATTAAGTATTTTGATAATATAAATAATGGTAGAATTGTTAAAATAAAATAATTGTTGGAATTGAATGTAATTTCTTTAGAGATTCTAATTTTCAATAATCTATTTTGGAAAAAAAAAAAAAAAAAACTATAACATAGATGTTGGAGATGTTTTAAAAGTCAAAATCTCTAAAAAATTACATTCAACTTTAAAAGTTACTATATTTTAGCAATTCTAATATAAACTATATTATTAAAATATTCATACATTTATTTTGAATATCTCTTACTGGTGAAAAAGTATTAAAATAATAATTTCCCTCTCTATTTAGAGATTTCTCTAAATTTAAAGATTTTTACAATCTCTCCCTTTATTTTTCTCTATTTTATTATACAAGATAGCATAGTTCATGGAGCAAAAAAATTGCTAAATGTCATCTTTTCTCTGTTTTACCATAGTTGTTGAAGATGGTCTTAATATTTTATTTAAAAAAAAAAAATATATAACATAACTGATGGAGATACTTTTTGAATAGAGCCAATGTTGGAGTGAGTGGAGTGCTTTCTTTTTTGCTCTCTACATTAGTTAAAGTATAAACATAAGAAGTTGACTCGGCTCGTTCAAATGCTCGACTAAACTTTTCGAGTCGAGTCGAGCTGATTCATTCAATCAAACTTTTTATCGATCCAAACATGCTCATATGGTCATGAATCATACAATAAAGATATAAAATTGTCAACCCCGAGCCTATAAATGAGTTAATCGATCGTGAGTTCGAGCCCATAAACAAGCATCGAGCTCGATAATTCAAAAAATATTCGAGTTCGAGCTTGAGTCCTATATTGAAAAAGTTATTCAAGCTCGAACCTAAAAATATTTTCAACCTCGACTCGAATAACCTACCACTCAACTCAGTTCGTTTATAACTTTAGTCGGTTTCCGCCAGTAGATTTAATTACATTATCGTTTTAATAAATACATATTTAAAATGAAAAAAATATTTAATACTGTGATTTTTTAAATGAAAAAATATTAAATTTAAAGGTAATTACTCTTTGAATATTGATTATTAATTCTTCATTTCAAATTTTAAAAAAAATTATATTAAGAAAAATAATTAACTTGGAAGATCGAAAACCGCACGTCACGCGCTTAAAAGATACAATACAACATACGCTTCAAAGACGAGGTGCCCATTTTGTCTTATTTTAATTATTTTATATATTTGTCGGCAAGTGCCAAATTTTTAAAATTACTAAAATACTCATCGCACACGCGTCACACAGCGGCAAGATAGTGAAAGTAGCAAGGGACCATTTTGACCTTTTCGTTTTATTTTATTACATACCTCCCTTTGACATTTTTAAAGTCAATCACCCTACAATTGTAAGGAAAATTAAATAAAAAAGGATATTGTAGTTTGGTATACGATGTTTAGGTTTTTACAGTTTTGGCACAAGTTTTATTAAAACTTTGCATTTCCTTATTCTAATAGACTATATTTCTTGTTAAAATGGTCATGATTTGACCGTGTTTGAAAGAACTTTTGAAATGCTAGTAATATGCTTTTCGGTTACAACGAATGAAAGATTTTGTGGGTCTTGTTATGGGCTAATATAATCAGTTGTGTATATGTACATTAGTCTGTTATCTTGATTAGTCATTAAAAGTACTTTAGTTAATGGGACCATATCAAACCAAGTAAATCCTACAAAGGATGGGTTTGAGGGACTTGAGATGCATACAGAGTCATAGACCTAGAAATACTAGAATGAATGTTTCAGTTAAAGATGGTGATTTGACCCAACTCGATGAGGAACCCGACTCACTCGACCCGAATTGGATGGGGATTCCCCGCTAAAACGGGTCCTAGGGCCGGGGATCGCCAATAGACTCAAGCTAACAGATATTCTTCATGGGTTTGACCGGCGACGAGATGTTAATCCTCGTACTCGTCGGGGACTAGGGCCGGGGATTACAAAATCCCCCCCCCCCTCCCGGTTGCCATGCCTAATTTAAGTGAAACCCTTATAACTGATGTGATTATTAGTGGTAAGGTTTTGTATTTTTTTTATTAACCTGGATATCCAACCCGCTATGCGAGCCAACTAATCCCAGGACGACCACCTGTTTTGCAAGTAGCCCGTAGTCATCGTATTTGAACCTTCGTGGCCACAAGGGGGGGTTTTTGTTCATTCTTGGATTTGAACCTGTGATCTCCAGACATTTTTGTTTTTTGGAGTCAAGCTCAAACCAATCAGACACCACCCTTGTGGTTAGGTTTTGTAAACTTTGTGTGGCAATTTAAAAGAAAATGTAAAATATTGTCGTGATTTGTGAGAAGTATTAAAACTTTTGGACCACTAAGTAAAAGATAAAATAAAGCAAAAGAAATCCAAAACCCTAATTTGTCCAGAATCCTTGTGAAGGCCAGCTACCACTCTCTTTTTGTTCTTTAATAATATTAAAATATCATATAATCCGTTTAAAAAATATATTAAATTATACAGACTATTAAATTAAAAAATATTTAAAAAAGACAAAAAGAAATATATCCTTTGGAAAAAGTAATATTCTGAATTAATAAATTACTATATTTTAAATCCAACACTTTTCCATTTCACACCCAATATAAATTATAATATATATATATATATATATATAATCATCTTATGTGCATCATCATCGTTTCTCTCTCTATCAAAAGTCAGCGCCTTAATTTGTTTCCATTCTCCTCCCTACATGGACGTTGATTGGGACCTTCAGGCGGTGGTCAGAGGCTGTTGCTCCACCGTCTCCTCCGCCACTACAACCACCACCACCACCACCGCTCCTACTTGTCCTGTAGATGCTTACAGTCAACCACACTCAAATTTTTATGGAGAAAATTTCATGGGTTTTTTCCCAGATCTATTTCAACCAAGAAGAGATAACAGCATCGAACAGTTTTTGAATGATCTTTACAATCCCATCCATTTACAGAAACCACCTCCTTCCCCTCAAAGTTTGCCAATCTCACCTCTTTCTGTTCTTGGAGGACTTCAAGATCCACCGTACCACCACCACCGGAAACAATTTCAGGGAAAGCAGCGATCTTTAGGCATCTCTAGATGTACAACTTCTCATACACAGAGTACCACAAAGTTCAAGAAAAGGTACAAAGCTTGTATTTTTATCAATTTCATCTGGATTAATTTGTGGGGTTTTGTTAGATTTTACGTTTATGAAGTACCCTTGAAGCAAATTGATTTTCCAGATTCATTTTCTTGAAAATTATATACCTATTCATTTTGCTTTTTAGAGGCTATGACATGTTAAATGAAGAATCATGAAATTTGGGAGATACTCACATGCAGAAAATTAAAGTATCATTATTTTTTTTTATTAACTTTGATATCCAACCCGCAGCTATGTGAGCCGACTAATCCCAAGATTACCACCTGCTTTGCAGATAGTTTGGAGTCACCGTATTTAAATCGTGGTCATTTAGGAATTTTTATTCTTCCTTGGATTTGAACTTTAAAAAAAATGTAAAATTGATTTTGTTTAGTGTTCTTGATTTAATTTTGACAGGAAAAATCAGGTTAAAAGGGTATCCCAAGTGCCAGCAGAAGGATCGTCTTCTGACTTATGGTCTTGGAGAAAATATGGTCAAAAACCTATCAAAGGCTCTCCATACCCAAGGTTCCAATTCTTCTCTCCCTTTAACAAATTATTTATTAAAAATATATATAAATAAATGATTATAAATTGTGATCATTTCATAATTATTGTATTTTTATTGATTTAATTACTGAAATTTTGATAAACAGGGGATATTACAAATGTAGCACTTCGAAGGGTTGTTTGGCCCGAAAACAAGTGGAGCGGAATAGATCCGACCCGGCTATGTTGATCATCACGTATACCGGCGAACACACCCACCCGGTTCCCATTCAGCGGAACTCTTTAGCCGGCAGCTCCCGCAACAAACCCACCGCCTCCGCCTCCGGCGACGAAGACAACAGAAACAAACCTACGTCATCGCCGCCTGTTTCTCCGACAGCCAGTTTATCTCCGGCGATGGAAAAGATGGACGAAAACGAGAGAGATGACACCGACGACGACGATAACGACTTCGATGTCTCCGGCGTGGTCATAGACGAAGATATTTTTGATGGGTTGGACGAGCTCGTTGGTTCGGCCTCTGGAGACAGATTCTCCGTTCACCATGCCACGTCAAAGACAGTTCCGCCTTTTCGGTGGTTATCAAACAACGTAGCTACCACAACCACCACCACCGCTGCCGGCCGGAGTTGACTTTCAAGAATTGACTTTTACTTTTTCTTGATGAGATTAAAGCGTATATAGTCGCCGACTTTTCCAAATCATTTTCCCAGAGCATAAACTTCTAAATCCAAAACAAGCATGTTTTAACGAATTGTACCGAAGCAGTTTTAGTTGCACTTACTCTGGATTTGATAATTTTAGCTTTGGAAAAGAGGGTATTATTTTTTGTGGTTTTTGAGGGAGAAGGAGCCGTTGGCAAAGTGAAATGGGCTTGTGTTTAAAGTAATGGTTGTGGTACAATGTGCATTATTTATTGTACAATGTGCATCATTTATTGTACTTTTTGTCGGGATGTGCGCATTACTTCTTTAGGCAAAAAAGGTATGTAATCTTTTGTGGCTCAAAAAATATTTCCATCGTTTTTACTTCTTTTTACATTAATATTCATTATTTAATTATTATATCAAATTAAATGTTTCATCTCTACCTTACGAAGGAAGATATAATAAACTTAATTTTTTTATCAATATATTTATAAAAATAAAATTGGATTTTTCTTTTAAACATCAAATACAATTCTCTTTTTAAAGTTTACTAGAGTAGTACTTGCGTAATGCAGCGAGACACATCTCGATTTTAATGTTTTACTAGTTGTGTGTCCGCGCAATACGGCGGGATGTCAAATTTTATTGTGAATAGAGAAATTGACACCTCAAACATGCTCAATGTATCTTACTCAAAATCAAGATCCAAGTCGATAAGATGTACACATACATTCATAGACCGCCTACGACATAATGTGAGACTTAACTTCAGGCCGTTTACTCAAACGCTTATCTGATAGGTGTTTACTCATAAGATTCAACACTCAAACTTACTTTAGCAGGGCATAAACTTTCGTCAAAATCATTCAAATTGAAATTTAAAACTCCCAAGATGTTAGTCTACTTGTGGAACTGCAACCATTTGTAAAAAAACAAATTGTTTGTAAATAATTATAAAAATAAACATATTTGATAATGCAATTATAGATTCAAAGAATAGAGTAAGAGAGGCCAAAAGGCCCCCTGAACAATCAATCTTCTCGTCATTGGTAAATTACTCCTTAAAAAAGTGAGGTATATCAATCTTCTCGTCACTTAACTTACCAGGTAATACCTCAGTTCATTAAATGACATCTTATACAACATTTTTTTTTCAGTAAGCGCTTGTCCTTGTTGGACTGAGCTTGTATATCCTATCCAGCTGCAGCCTGATTATAATCCAAATCTAATGAGCTTGAAGGAGCTTCAGCAGTAGATAAAGCTTGTACTCTTTCTGAAGGCTTCTTATTCCGTCTAATTCTCTTTGGGTTTTCTTTAGATGTACTGACAGATAAATTTGCAGATTCTTTGGATGAAACAAAGCAGTGTTCTTGGTTTTATCTGTTTTGAATGCTAATATTGTTGTTCTCTTAGTTGGAGATGAATGAGTTGAAAATCTTGCACTTAATCCAGATGGGGTCCTTGCAGCAGAGCTAGATACAGTCACTAACTCCCATGCCAAGAGGTACCTAAGCAGAGCAATGTAAGAGCTTTTACTTTAAATAATGTAATCAAATCATGGATTCATCCCAACATTTATTTGAGTTCCAAGAAGGAAGGCCATAGACATCTTTCTTGGAAACTTTAGGCATTCTAAAAAAAATCATAGTTGATTTAACTAAAAAATAAACTTTAAAAAATTCATTGGATCTTTTTCATCTATCTCTACAGCCGCTAACATCATAAAGAGAAATAAAATACAAACATTCGGCCAAAAAAAATACATCTTTAAGGTTAAATTAAGAACATGCCAGAATGGATTTTGCCTTTCTTCTTTTGGCATCTTACCCCTCTTTTGCTAGTGCCCCTTCAACTCATTGAAACATCAAAAAAGTTTCGTGTCCTGGTCAAGAATCAGAAAAGTTGAACAATTTTAAAGAATTATAGCACAAAGATGTTCAAGAATCAGTATTTCGGTACAGTAAATAAGTAAACGTGTGTAGTTCATACCTAGAGGAGTAAGCACTCATTCCACTGGTGTGCTTTCTCAATGACCTGAGCACCTATTATTATATTTGGGACAAAATGACTGCAGAAAATGAAGAACATTGTTAATAATCATTCAGAAAACCATAAGCTGGACGCAACCTAAAACCAACGATCTGCTAGTTACTGATAAAAAGCGAAAACAGAAGAGCTTTAGCCATGTCTGAAGCATACCCATCCTGCACATCAACTTCAATGTATGAGGGGCAAGTAGTATAACCAAAGAAGCAAACTATAATCCAAAGACAAAAATATAAGAAACTGTTAAAGAGTGATTTTATAGCCAAGAAATTAATGTGGTTAATCATCTTTGATCTCTTGATAAGAACAAAAACTAATATCTTCTTACTGGCCATTTTTTAAAAAGAAATGTGTCTTATCGCTAATTGTTCCTAACTTGGTTGAGCAACTTTTGCAATAAAATTGCACTTACAAGCAAGAAGCCAACTTCTTAGGATCTGTATAACAACAAAACACGATAAATGAAAAGCAAAAAAATCAACCAACGCAAAGTGTAGAATGTGGACAAGGTTCCTATTCAAATGGTTTATTTATGAACAAGGGTTTTTTTGTTATACAGATCCTAAGAAGTTGGCTTCAAGCAACGAAGCAGTAAAAAACTTAAGTAGATATTATATAATAAACAATAATCAGATCCACAACCACATCTAATATGATGAATGATAAAGAGAGATGCAAAACACAACATGATTAAACAAAAAACATATCCAAATTTTTTGAAGAAGCATAGTTAAAACCAAATCAATTGCAAAACTCAAATTAACATTGAAGCAACAACCGGTGTTTAGCAGCTCAATTCAAAACAAACCAAAAATTGTGTGTTCTAACCTTAGAGAGCAGATGAAAATGCAATCAGGGGTTGTTCTGCACAATCTACCTACCCCCCCCCCCCAGTTGATCCATACCCTATTCGTTTGATTAAACTCTCTAATTTGCAATTTTAAACAACAATGCACATGTTTCACTTCTAATCACTTGTAAGCAACAAAAAATGATGATCTCATACTTGAAGTGTAATTAAAAAAACTTACCAAGACTCGTTATGATTCACACACTATGATAAAAGAAACCCAACGATATTGCATCACAACTCATTATTTATGCAAACGTGTAAGTAGATGTAGTGAGAAGCAAAACAAAGATAAAAAAATCTAAAAGAACACAATATCAAACAAAAAAAAAATATAAATTTAAAAGATATCCTTCATCCCCATTATCGTACCTGCATTGAGAAGCAAAACATAAAATCTAAATCTAAAAAGAAAATGCAATAATAAGGATTGCAACCCACTCTATTTCAAATTAATTGCACCTATTAGTCCAAAATCGAAGCAATAATAAGGCTTTATATGGGGTGTTTTGCCTGGAAGCTTACCAGGATAAACAAACAGGGAGCTAAACAAATGAAGTTTCAAACAAACATTGATGAAAGAACCGATCCTTGGATCTCACATGATTTGAGTTAAATTCGCAGACAGATACAACTGAACTTTTGAACAAAACCCTAATCACAATTAAACAAACCTGTGAGTATTCATAGATACAAACAAAAACTAAGATGGAGATGAAAGTAAGAATTGGACATTTAAAGAGGGAAAGATTAGAACTCACAATAGGAGGATTCAAACCCTAAAACATAGCATTCTGAAAAGTGGAAGGAAGATGTAATACCATGATAAATAAAAACTAACCGTATGGAGATGGAGTCAACAAAGGAGCGATGGATCAAATGAAGCATTGAGAAGAACCCTAACCATATTCAGAAATCAATTGTGAATCGTACCGAGAGCCTGAATCGAACATCTTGGGAAATCAATTGTGAATCGTCGCTTTGAAGAGGGAGGCGATGGGAGCGTGTATGAATCGTCACTTCGTGAAGAGAGTGAATGATATTTATAAGTCGCCTGAGGAGAGCGTGCGATAGAGAGAGAGAATCGACATGACTGTAATCGCCTGAGTAGAGCGTGCTTTGTTAGGTAAATCTTGGAGACTGAATCGGCGTGCGATAGAGAGAGTCGGTCGTTGGGCAGCCGGATGTCGTTTGGAGAGCGTGGGAAGGTGTGTGAAGGTGGGCATCTTCACGTGATTAGGGTTTAGAGGCAGTGAAGGTGTTTCTACATTAAAGGGTAGTATCCTAAATTGAAAATGCATAAAAAAGTTGTACATTTTTAAGACTTTTCTGCATTAAATGGTAGTACCTTATGCATGTTAAGGTGTTTTTAAGACTTTGGACAAATTTGCTTTATAAAGTAGTATAGATTTTTTAATCAATTTGCAATAGTTGATGTTTTTGAGTTTAATCAATAAGTTTCGTTATTATTATTGTTATTTTGAAATAAATTGTAAATATATGATCAATATGTGTCAACCATTTAAAAATATATATATATATATATATATAAAATAAAAATACAAATTGATATATATATATATCATTTTATGAATAATAAAATAAAAAATTAATAAAATGAAAGAAATAAAGACATTTGAATGGAATTTCATCTTTTTAAATACCAAATTAATTATTTTTACTAATAAGATGATTTGTATGATAAAATTCCAAAATAAAATATAGCTATTAATTTGTTATTAAGATACTAAATAAAAATGATGTCTTAATCTTACATTATGTATGCATAGCATATATAATAAGAAAGATGCACGAGCGATTAGAAATACGTTTTAGAGCATGTAAAAGATCATTGATCAGACATAAAAGATTATTATTATTATTATTTTTCATCAAGTCTTATATCCAAAAGAATATAAACATAAATATACATGAATTTATTTAATTCAACATTTTCTAAGTATTACTTAAAAAAAAACATGCTATTTAATTATTGATAATTAAACTATTAACCTTGATAAGAAAAAAAAAAACCAATATTGATTAAATCAAGTCAAACCAAATGCTACCTGGCCTTGATAATTACCTCTCAAGTGTTAGCATGTGTTTTACTTGATGTGGTGGTTGTGTCGTACCATGAACTACATTCCTTTTTGTCTAATAACTAATTAATATATATATATATATATATATATATATATATATATATATATAGAGGAACGTTCAAATGAAAACCCTCTCCATTTGTGTAAACTGTGTAAACCAATCTCAACCATCCATTTTTTTGATCAATGGTCAAGATTTGTAGGCGTTATTTATGGAAATTAAAGAAAAATAAAAAATAAAAATTCAATTTATTTAATCAGTAAGGGTAGAATGGTAAACATAATTAACAA